TTTTCTTTCCGTATTTACATTTCCGTTTTTTTGGGATTTGTACGGAACAATAATTACCTAATTAATTATTACTGCTTACTTTTTTTTTTTGGATACTAAAGTGATACATAGAAATTGCATTCTGTATTGAGATTTAAACCATGTATAATCTCTTAATCATTAAACACCAATTAGAATAAATTATTGACCTTTATGGTATATGTTATTGACCTTTACGATATATTTATTACAAATCATTCTGATGCTTGTGTATGTATGTGTGTCTGTCTATGTATGTGTTGATGGTATATACTTTGTGTATGTGTCTGTCTATGTCTGTGTTGGTGATATGTATGTATGGGAAAGAGTTCAACGAAGGTCATTTCATATACATTCAGGTGATGTTCCATTTCCTATCAAACATCTGTCATTTCTTCAAACTTTATTATACTTGAAATTTTAACCATTTCAATACTAATAATGAACCCATTCATAGTATATAATATTCACTGTAAAGTCATGATAGTAGAATATGTCATGTCATTAGTGTATGTATATGTATGTGTATGTGTATGCATGTATGTATGTATGCACGTCTACGTGTGTGTATGTATGTGTATATGTATGTGTGTTTATGTGTGTATGTATGTACTTCTATATGTATGTATGTATATATGTGTATGTGTGTATGTGTCGCTACACTCTTGATTGAAGTGTCAAAATGTTGCAGACACAATATTTTGTTGTGGTTTTATTCCAATGTGTGTATGTGTATGTGCGTATGTGTGTGTGTGTGTGTGTGTGTATTTGCGCGTGTGTATGTATGTGTGCGTGTGTGTATGTGTACGTGTGTGTATGTATGTATGTGTGTATGTGTGCGTATGTGTATGTATGTATGTATGTACATGTGTCTGTGGGCATGTTTGTGTATGTTTTGAGTTTCTGGTGTAATTAAGAATCAATTTTAATGTACATTAAGCTTCAAATTCTCTCTTTTAGTAATTCCCAATCTTTTTTTTTTTTGACCATTGATCATTTTAGCTTTTTAATTTGTAGCAATGACCAGTTGAGTCAAAAATAAATTGTTAATTTGAAAATTCAATTTGGCTTTCATCAGCGTAACCTTTGAACTTGTATTTTTTTCTCTTAACAAGTAAGGCAGTTGTGTAAAATTTGCCTCAAAGGTATGAAATCCTGTAAGTAAAAAAAAAAAATTAAAACGAAGCGGAAGATATAATCTAACAATGGGTGTTGAGAAGGTCCCAAAGGGATCCGATCCGGGCACCTACTACAGAACAATATTACAACGCGAATGAATGAATGTCTCTGTCGCCAACAAACGAATCAAAATATAAGCTTTAAAAAAAAAAAAAACAAAAAAGAAAAAGCAAAGAAGAAAACAACTCCGCCTGTTTTATGTTCATTGCGTCGCTGCACTCCGCCTGTTTAATGCTCATTACGCCGCCGCACTCCGCCTGTTTAGTGCTCATTACGCCGCCGCACTCCGCCTGTTTTATGCTCATTGCGCTGCCGCCCCCGTAGAACAGCGGTTGAGAACCTCCATTTTATGACATTTATTCAAATTATATTCAAATGAGGAAAAGGAAAAGGAACCAGAGATCAGAGATCTATACCATTGATTACATATAAATAAATATTAATAGCTATTATCATTTGTTATTAGTGACAATGAAATGTTTGAACGAAAAAAATTATCATATAAAGGATGAATTATATGTAAATTAATGATAATAACTATTATCATTTATCATCGATAATTGAATTAAATTATATATAATTATTAATAATATCTATTTTATTATTGATTTTATTTTTTCACTTTTTTTAATTTCTAATACTTTTCAAATTTTCAACTATTAATTTTAATATTTATATTTATATTTTAATATTTATATTAATTTTAATATTTATATTTCCGTATACATTTTAAATGGAAGGAAATATTACAGAAGAGAAAAAGGATAAAAAAAAAAGAACTTGGATTTGATGCTCTTTTTAATTCTGAATATTTCCAATGAGCTTTCGAATTTCAAATAACACAAAAAAAAAAAAAA